ATGATGATGATGATGATGATGATGATGATGATGATGATGATGATGATGATGATGATGATGCAGGTGTTACTCGGGCCCTGCAGACACAAAGCCCCCCCCCCCCCCCCCCCCCCCCCCCCCCTCACCTTCTCAGATCCTCGGTGTTTCCTGGAGGCCGGCGGCTCGTCGAGCTGCGGCCTGACGACAAAAGCTGCTCCACTGCTGCTGCTGTTGTTGTTGTTGTTTACGTTGTTTACGTTGTTTACGTTGTTGTCGCCTCCTGGGATCCGGGGGTCCAGCCCGGAGCAGGGGGGTCCGTGTCCGGGATGATGCTCAGGCAGGAAGACGGGTCCATGATGATCCTCTTCGGGTTTTTCCTTCCTGCTCCGGGCAGGAGGACCGTCCCTGTCCCTCTTCCAGCCCCGGATCAGGCTCTTCCCCCTCCGGTCCTCCCTCCCTCTGGAGGAGCAGGTCGGAGCGGGAGGAGAGGCTGGACTCAGCTCGGTGCTGGTTCCGTCTGCATCCCTGCTGACAGCGGAAATCATCTCCATCCACCGCTCCTCCTGCAGCTCCGCTGCGTCCTTCAGCTGCTGGGGGGGGGGGGGGGGCTGCTCCTGCAGACCCTCACTCAGCTCCTCAGCTCTCAACGGTTCTTCTTCTCCTCCGTTTGTTCTCACGAGTCTGAAGACCAGGACTACAGGTCTGAGTCTGCAGGACCAGGTCTGAGTCTGCAGGACCAGGTCTGAGTCTGCAGGACCAGGTCTGAGTCTGCAGGACCAGGNCATACAACCATCCAACCATCCATCCAATCAGTCATCCAGCCATACAACCATACAACCATCCAATCAGTCATCCAACCATACAACCATCCAATCAGTCATCCGACCATTCAACCATCCAATCAGTCATCCAATCAGTCACCCAACCATACAACCATACAACCATCCAATCAGTCATCCAACCATACAACCATCCAACCATCCATCCAATCAGTCATCCAGCCATACAACCATCCAATCAGTCATCCAACCATACAACCATACAACCATCCAATCAGTCATCCAACCATACAACCATCCAATCAGGCATCCAACCATACAACCATCCAATTAGTCATCCAACCAGACAACCATACAACCATCCATCCATCCATCCATCCAACCATCCAATCAGTCATCCAACCATACAACCATACAACCATCCAATCAGTCATCCAGCCATACAACCAACCATCCAATCAGTCATCCAACCATCCATCCATCCAATCAGTCATCCAACCATACAACCAACCATCCAACCAGCCAATCAGTCATACAACCATCCAATCAGTCATCCAACCATACAACCATCCATCCAACCATCCAATCAGTCATCCAACCATACAACCATCCATCCATTCAGTCATCCAACCATACAACCATCCATCCATCCAATCAGTCATCCAACCATCCAATCAACCATACAATCATACAACCACCCAATCAGTCATCCAACCATACAACCATCTATCCATCCATCCAACCATCCAATCAGTCATCCAACCATACAACCATACAACCATCCAACCATCCAATCAGTCATCCAACCATACAACCATGCAATTAACCATCCAATCAGTCATCCGACCAGTCATCATCCAACCAGTCATCCAATCATACAACCATCCATCCAACCATTCATCCAACTATACAACCATACAACCATCCATCCAATCATTCATCCAACCATCCATCTATCCAACTGTTCATCATCCAACCATCATCCATCCATCCATCCAACTAGTCATCCAACCATCTATCCATACATACAGCCATCCAATCATTCATCATCCGACCATCCAACCAGTCATCCATCATCCAACCATCCATCCAACCAGTCATCCAACCATCCAACCAGTCATCCAACCATTCAACATCCAGCCATCAACCATCCATTCAAAATGTTCTGAAATATTCAGAAACTTTGTTCCAGATGTTGGTGTTTTGTGGTTCTGAGTGTTTAGAACCACAATACAGTAT